TTAAGTGATATTCTTTGGGACATGATTGATACCTCGCACACATGCAAACACTAAACATAATGTCGGGTCTAGAAGCAGTAAGATAGAGTAAGAGATCCAATCATACCTCGATACTTCTTCACCTCTACATCCTTATCATTTTCGTCTCGGTTGAGATTCACACACGTAGGCATTGAAGTGTCAATAGCCTTGGAGTTTGCCATGTCAAAATGCTTGAAAAGCTCAAGGCAATATTTTGTCTGGCTCGCAAATGTACCCTCTTTCAGTTGTTTGATTTGCAATCCGAGGAAATAGTTGAGCTCCCTGATCATGCTCATCTCAAATTCTTCCTACATTAATCTAGAAAACTCCCTTACCAGATTCATGTTAGTTTATCCAAAAATAATATCATCAACATATATTTATACTAAGATTAAGTGTTTTCCTTGACGTTTAATGAAAAGGGTTGTGTCCACCTTTCCTCTTGAGTAACCTTGATCAAGAATAAATTTACTGAGACGGTCATACCAAGCCCTAGGGGCTTGTTTGAGTCCATACAAAGCACGTTTTAATTTGTATACATGATTAGGATACCCATGGGATTCAAACCCAGGAGGTTGGGCAACATAAACCTCTTCATATATATATCCATTGAGTAATGCACTTTTTACATCCATTTGAAATAATTTGAAATCTTTCGCACAAGCGAAGGCAAGCAGAAGGCGTATAGGCTTGAGCCGGGAAACCGGCGCATAAGTTTCCTCATAGTCGATTCCTTCATCTTGGTTATACCCCTACGCGACGAAACGCGCCTTATTGCGAGTTATTACTCCATTTTTGTCTAGTTTATTCCTAAACACCCATCGGGTGCTAATTACTCAATGGTCTCGCGGATGAGGGACCAGGTCCTAAACCTCATTTCTTTTAAGTTGATTAAGTTCCTCTTGCATTGATAGGAACCAATGTTCATCGAGTAATGCCTCTTTTGAGTTTTTAGGTTCTACTTGAGAAACGAAAGCGAAGTGATAACATAAATCATTTAGCTTTGATAGAGTTGTCACTCCCTTTGAGATATCACTGAGAATGTTATCGATGGGATGGTCTTTAGAAGACTTCTATGCTGGAGGAAGACCATCGGTGTTGGACGGATGAACTTCCTCAATCCCCTCATGGCGGTGATCTTTTTCCTCCTCAACTTTGACTGGGTCAGGTTGATCAATTCATGTCTCAACATCCTTGAGTATGTCTTCAGAAGATACACCTGCACCATTAAATGAACTATCTTTTCCGACACTTTTCGGATAAGACTCATCAAATGTGACATGAACAGGCTCTTCAACTGTAAGTAATCTCTTATTGTATATTCTATAAGTTTTACTTGACTGAGAGTATCCAAGAAAGATACCTTCATCTGCCTTGGAGTCAAATAAACTTCAAAAGAACAAATAAACTTGATCCAACGTCAAGTGTTTTCAAAACAAATTCAAATTAATCACCAATTCATTCTCAAGCATACTTGATCCACATATCAAGTTCCACTACCTATTTTGTAAGTCGAACGCTTTTGCCTCGCCATCGACCTTACCCTATACCAATAAGACCTTCCTTCCACTAGTTCAAACCATAATTAATTCGTAAGCAAATTCAAACCTCGATCAACATCGAGCATTTTATCAAAATTTACTTAATGAACTTAATTATACTCAGACCATATTTCAAATGAAGATGAAAAAGGAGTTGGAATGGAGTCTTCGATTCTTCTCTTCAATTGTTTAGGCCCGAGGAGCCTTTCTTAAGTTCGAACAATTGTCTTCTCTAAATAAACTTTATAATCCGATTCTACATCAAACTATTTTTACAATAAGCAAAATCAAACCTATTTTCTCAATACTTAGATGAAAAAGAGAAAGAGTCAGGTTTTTGACTCATTCTCCCGATTACTTGGGCTCGAGGAGCCTTTCTTAAGCCTCAAGTGATACTCATTCATAACTTACTCTAACTATATCAAAATCATTTTCACCATTAAGGTTGAAAAAGAGAGATAGTCGGATCTTCGACTCATTCTCCCAATCACTTGGGTCCGATGAGTCTTTCTTAAGCTTTGAGTGATCGTCATCCAATCAAAATATAAACACATTAATTCAACTTCTCGCCTCTGCGATATTAAAACTATTTCCTAAAAGGACAATGTTTAATATACTCTAAACACTTATTGATAAAACAAACTAACCAACCGTAGTCTCACAAACTACGATGCTCTGACTTTTCCATTGCACGAGAGAGTACGTAGGCACAAAGGCCTCAATCCTTGGCGAGCACCCTAACAAAAAACCACCCATTTCCCCCTTAGAAGTGAATCCTTAGAAGAAAATAAACAACCTAGCTAACTTTTCTTTCGAATCAAATCAAGAAGTTCCCGTTGAGTACAACGGACGTAGAGGGTGCTAATACCTTCCCTTTACGTAATCGACTCCCGAACCTAGAATTTGGTTGGGACGATCATGTTCTTATATCTTTAAAGGTTTTATCGATATTTTCCTATTCCTTCTTTGGAATGAATAAAGTTCGGTGGCAACTCTGTTGAACGTTTTTTTCGCGTCCATCGCGAAGATCGTATTTTTTGAGGTACGACAGCATGGTATCACCATCTTACCACTGCGCAGATGCATACACCCAAACCGACGTGTTCCACCGATTGTGCCAATTTGTTTGCATGTAGTTTTCGCATGAACAACCTCTGACCTCCTAACGCAAGTTTACCTGCAGGACCGACCAAACAAGTCCTAAAATGATGGTTTCGAGTGTATGGGATGATGGTGGAATGGTGCTGTTTAGAGTAGGTTGAAGATAAATCTGAGAAAGACTATGTAAACTTAAATAAAGATGAATGCATAAACAAGAAAAGACAAAAACAACAAGACAAGAAATATTTAAAGTTGATGATATAAATTGCTTATTAAGGGAAAATGTGGACGCGATCATACATTTTGCAGGAATGAAGCTCTTTTCTCTTAACACTTGGTACTCAGAGTGTTTTTCCCTTACAATTTTAAAAAATGTGTCCCCTAAAATAAAACTGGGCATTGCCTTAAATAGGAAAATAAAATAATTGTCTTGTTGAATTTGGTGGCGCCACGTGTCCTTCCACCACTTTTGTAACTTCCCATGTTCTCAGCTTTCAAATCTTCTTCTCACTCAAATGTTTTCCTCCTTTGCGTTGGCCTCCTTGCCCATCAGTCGACCTTGTCGACAGAACCTGCCTGAGTCAACCCACAAGCCATCCTCTGCTGGCGTCGGCTCACCTCATTTCATTCACCATCTTTCTCAGCCTGTCGACCCACAAGTCTGTCTTTGTGTCGCCTTTCTTTAATTGAAACTTCCAGCCAACAACATCATCTCTATTTATAACAAAATTACACATTGCATCCTGTCTCCAAATAAATTGACGGCACCATAAAAAATATACACACAATCGTCAATTGGATTGAAGACATTACATGTAGTCTCCAATCCAATTGGGATATTTGTGTAAAAAACATAAAGATATATTAAATTAATGTTTCTATTTAAGGAGTGAATCATTATAGGTTGAAGAGAGAAACATAACCACTTTTTTAACATGACAAGTTGCAAAGTGGAACGAACCACAACCCCTCCTCCATAATAAATACTCCATCTAGTAATTGAACCCACCCACCCATCCGCAACATCATTAATAGCAACAACAAGAAGAAAAGAAAATGTTGGGAAAATCAAAAGATGTTTGGGTTGTGTTTGAGCCACTTGGAGTGATTCACAACAACAAACTCATGTTCTTTTACATCGCTTCATTCACAACGCTCCCTCTCTCTTTTCTCCTCTTCACTCTCTCCATTACCACTCACACGCTCCGTTCTCATATCTACCATCTCGAAGCCCTAGCCACTCTCACCTCCACTCTCATGGAAGCGCGTCACGTCTGGCACGAGTCTCGCGACAACGCCGTCTATCTCCTCCGCGTCAGATCACTCTTTTTCCTTCTCTGTTTCCCGCTCTCACTCGCCGCCGTTGTGTCCTCCGTCCACACAACAACCTCCTCCCTCCAAGGTAAAACTGTTACTGTTAACTCAACCGTTAACGCCGTGAAAGATAACTGGAAGCGCCCGTTCGTTACGGCTATTTTTGTTTATGTACTCTTGTTGACATTCTCACCCGTGCCACGTGTCGTTGCTTCGGTATTCGTGACGCGAGAATCAAGGTTTGTTGTTATGGCCATTGGTGCGGGGGTTGAGGTTTATCTGATGGCGGTTATGGGCTTGGGCCTGGTGGTTTCCGTTGCGGAAGAAAGATCCGGATGGAGTGCGATTAGTGTCGGGTCGGGTTTGATGCGAGGGAGGAGATTGGTGTTCGGGTGGTTAATTTCGGTTTTATTTGTTATGGTTTCGGGTTTTATAAACGGAAAAATGGAAGGGTTGTTGGAGGGTTCGAATTCGGGTGTTTGGGATAAAACGGTTTTGATCTGTTCTTATGGGTTAACGGTGGTTTTTAGTTATGTTGTCACAACTGTTTTTTACTGGGAAAGTAGAATGCCCCATTCCGTTAGAGAACGTGAAACGACGGTTCAAGATGTTGATTCTATTTCGCTCTCATCTTTGTAAATGATTTTTTTATAGATCAAATGTAATTACTCTTTTCTGGTTATAATACAACAAAGCTCAACGATTTTGGTTGATATGTTTATTATTTAAGCTTGAATTTATTTTATTTCCTTTCCTGTGATTACATTATTGGAACTAGTTATTGAATTGAACAATAAAAAGTTGCATTAATATAAGTTGGGTGTCACATGCATTAATAGGAACGAAAATGAAAGTTTTGTCCGCCGGCACTTTTGTTGACCTAAAGGCGTTATATCCCAAGATACATTAACATTTCAAAAATATATATATAGGAATTTCTGGAAGGCCTTGATTTCATCTTCCATTTGTTTTTATTCCGGCATACTTCGGTTTAGTGTTGTAGCTGTAGCCATTTACTGATCATCAAGTCAAAGAAAAACAGTAGTTGTCAAGCCAGGTGGAAGCGGATTTTAGAACGCGAAGCTCACCGTGTAGGAGATGTTGAGCCATTTGTTTTCTAACAGGAAGTCTTTCACACAAGGAAGAAAAATCGCAGGAATCTAATGACTGCACACAAGTGTTTTTATATCTGTTAGAACAATAAGGTCTTTGAAGTAGCGATTTAAAAATTCTTGTATCAAATTGGACTAGCGATTTTAAAGAAGTCATTGTGATACAAATGTCAACCTTAATACAAACTTGTCTCACTCTGCTATCAATTCAGTTGCCAGGATGTTTAATCAGTAAGCAGTAATAAACAACAAATTAGATTAAGTCCCTGAATAGTTACCATAAGAGTTGTATTGCGCTCCTCGATTAATCGGATGAATAATGAAGATAACATCTGGTGTGCTTGGATCTCTTTGTTCATATCCTGTAAAGGGCGTCTAGCCAGTCTACCATCAGTTTGTCCAGCCTCCGTGACCAGATGGTCGAGCTCTGATATTCCATGAATAAAAATTCCAAAAGTCAATATTGTTAGTAATATTGTTAGTCTGTTAGGTATAGGTGATACAACAAGTTTAACCTTTTTTTTTGTTTGGAAAGATTTGTAACACAATACAAAGGACTAAAAAGTAATAATAATTTGAACACACCCTGAGGCATGGTACAAGAAAGAATACGAGCAAGTGCGCGAAGTGATTGTGGCACTCCCTTCCCTTTTCCTCTAGCAGACTTTACCTCCCTATGTGATCACAGCTCCATCAGATTGCCAAATACTGACAAGTATGTAAGCAACACTTTAGAGAAACACTACATCAAAAAGCCCATGATATCCAATATAAAATATATACTAAGAGTTACAACTATTTAACATTCACGTTTCATGCATGAAGACAAGGATGAAGCCCAGTCTAAGATAGCAGAGGGTATCTGGTGCATATAAATGTTAAGAATGATAGAGGGAGACATAAAAAAGATCAAAAGTTACATTGCAATTTAACCATCGAGATGGTAGCTCTTGGGTCATTGCACGGGCCCAATATTGATTGAAAGGGGAAGGGGGAAGCAATTGATATCAAATACTTTGCTGAAAGAACAGCATTCATGAGCATGAACATTAGGACAATTTGTACTCAACGTGGAATCTTATTATCACAATTAGCCAATAGACCCACAGTCAAGAATCAGTAAACAAAAATCATAAAATACTATCTAAATTATTCATTAAGACAAACATAAAATTAAGAATAAGTGCAAACTTGATTGTGAAGGAATTCACGGAACATTTCAAGCCCTTTGCATCGTTGGTCGGAGGCACAGAGTATTGTTGTAAGAGTTCCAATTTCATGTCATGCAGAGGATCATGCTTAGGTATATCAAACTGGATCTGAACCTGAGAAGTGAGAAAGATTAGCATTATTATCAATAAAGAGAAAGCCGGTGCAATCATATAAACAGTAAGAGCAACAAGCCAGAGGAGAAAATGCGTCAGCCTGCATTATATGATACTACTTGAAAGTTGAAATTCATTTGCAAGGAATTTAACCTGATCATAAATGTTGTAGGGAATTGTAAAACCAAAGTCCAGCATCAATGTAGCATTTGAAAACTTTCCATATCTTATAAGAACCTGAAACAAAAAGCATAGAATTGTCAACCAGGTAAGAAATTTTATTAATTGATAATCAATACAATGACAGATAATTTGAATATCAAATTGCTGGTTCAAAATGAAATAACAGGAGGTATAGCTGGATAAAAATTGTAATATCACTATATTCCTCTCCTTCCATATCGCCTATCCACCTGTTTTTGTAGGCGCTGTAAAGAAAGAAAAATACATATTCTAAATCCAAAACTCTTTGAATCTAGGAACCTCATTTAAGTTGAAGTAAAAGTAAAATTTTTTGAAGCTCAGCAAGAACTAAGAAGCTTGCGAGGCCCAAACTGGTGATGAAATTTAGCTTTCTTCTTTTAAATTTCCAGTTTTACATGAAAACGACATTCACTCCTAAACCACTATTATTGAGCAATAATTCTAGTTCAGCTGAGCTTCTATAATCAGCTTATGCAAGAGTATGTTTCAAAAGTCTGCAACATACTTGGTGTGACAGAGGAGTTGTTGATGTTTTAGCTTGGCATGCAATAATTTTACACTAATATCTTCTTTTTTATATAACAGCTCAAAATTTAATTCACTGCTACTGTTAATCAATCAATAAACCGAAGTAATCAACTTTGACTTTTTCAGGAACGATCTACTGGTTAATTTGACTGAGAAAAAGTAGGGAAAAGACAATTATGGGAAGAGGATGTCTAAATCTTAATGCTAAATTATCCACCAAAATTCAGGCTTGCAGAATACGAAAAATAAGTGCAATTTTATTACACGATTACTACTACAAATGAAGCAAGAGTAACATACAATATATATTGTATTCAGTAAAAAATAGTATTTGACCTGTTCACCAGGAACATAATCCCGATCAGCAGTAACCTGCACATAATTGCAAAATAGAAATTGTAAGTAATGGAATATCTTCACAACATCATATCACATATATGTTGTAGAATCTATTTGTCATTTAATTGAGAAGCAATATTGATGTGGCCAAAAGTTGCTTCCACATGAGATGAAAATCTAACTATGTGATTTCTTACAACAGAGTAATAAACTAAAGGGTAAAAATAACAAAAGGATGGATTTGGGGAATGAGATGAAAAGGAAGGCACCACAATTATAGAGATTAATAAGCCAAGAGGAATTACCACAATGGTAAGAAAGTCATTGATAAGATTCAAGTTCTAATCCAAGAGCTCAGAGAGGAGACAAAGTTCACTCACCATTCTCATAAAAGAGAAAACTTAATTCATTTCAAACTTCCAAAAGAGGTTACAAAATGGTTACCTATAGTAACAATTCTCATAACCCTAAATGAGCCATAAACACCACTTTCTAGGTCCATATTGAGTTAATCATATTTTCTGCAAATACGTGCAAGTGCAATGAAGCAAACATCAACTAATTCTAAATTAAAACAATTACAATCCCAAATTAAAAACTAAATAGAATTATTATGAAACAAATTAAACTAAAATATTTAATTCTCTTGATTGGTCCTCCTCAAATATCGTGTGTACTTTCCTTATTTGATTAGGCTCAAGAGTTTATTCTAGCTAAGGCTTGTACTGGTGGTATTACAACAATACTTGACCTAAACTATTAGTATGCATAAGCAAGATTTAATATGACAATGGTGAAACATTAATGTACATGGCCATAACAATGGAATTTGTCTTGAATGTAATGGGAAAAAATGTTAACCAGTTAATGAGGCTCTAATAGCCTTAATGAAAGGTAGGAGAGAGAAATTACTTCTGAGCATTGTTTGTCATCATCACTCATTACAATGGATTCTGAAATCCCATCATGATTTAAGAAATCTGCAAATGGAATCTATAAAATAGTTTTAGCAAATTAATTGATAGAGATTAAACATAAAAAATAGAAGAAATCTCCATTCAGTAGTAATACCAGAGATAAACCCTTTGTGCCTCCCCATGCTCTAGAGCCAACTGTTTATTTGAAATTGAAGTGATCAAATAGAAACTAAACAAACTTGTGTTCTCAACTAAACATAACAATAAATCATGTTTATAAGCACCTTTCAGAACTCAGCCCGTGTAAAGGTATACATACAACAGAGTCAAGACTATGGAATTAGCATAGGATCAGAAAGGTCAGATACCACCATACAAAGCCATGACATAAAAGATCAATAAACCGACGAGTAGGAAGACTAGGAATCCCTAATGTGCATCTGTTCAAGGAATTCTCTAAGAAATCTCAACCAGAGTTCCAAAGAGAAGATATATAGACTAAACTACAGCATTTTGAATCCTACTCAATGCTTATGTTGTTGAAAATTCTATGCTCAAGAAAAAGTCCTGAGAGCCAACACGGTACTATGAGATTCAGAACTACTGAATTTCATAATCTATCAAGATTCAAGATACTTAACCTTGTTTGACATTTGGAGCGACAAGGAAGAAATCATTAGTGTTCATCATATTCATCAATGAATACCAAATAAGCAATCTAAAATTTGAGTTCTAATACAACTTATAGTTTGTTTGATGCCAGAAAATTCACGTTTTAGGTGGTCAAATAGACTTGCACAGTGACAAACAGTTTGTTGAAGGTCAAATTGATAAAAACAATGTTGCAGGTAGTAGAAATTGTTTTCAGAAAAGTGCAAACTGGTAAGTTTTTTCGTTGAACACAATTTATTAAAAATAGAACTTGCCAATTATTTAAATTCATTTTTTAAATATCATTTCCAAATACAACTTTTGTTTAACTTCGGTTCTTTCAGAATCAACTTTTAGTACTAATTCTTTCGAAATCAGTTCTATAAAAAACTAAAACAAATAGATATTCAGTCCTCTGGTGGATAAGTGGGGGGAAGAAAGTCTTGCAAGAAACTTGGTATCCCTAGATTTGAAAAAGTTCGCAGCAGCACAAGTTGACACAAATGAGTTTTGTATACTATATCCCTTATGATCATCAATGCAACCAATAGAAAGAGAATTGAAAAGTTGAAACCTGATTATAAAATGACAACTCTCAAAACAAATCTGAGCCAATTATTTAATAAAAAGCTTGGGAAAATATAACTTAATCTAGAAATTAAGAAAATATTGAGTCAACTTGCTGATTAAAAAATCATATTTTCTGGAACTGACCAAGTCAAGATGCACAACAAGGGAGGGTGGACGATAGGGAGTGATATAATGCAAATAAATAAGTAGTAAATGGAAAAATGATCATTAAGAATTACAGCGGCAACAAATTCCAAGGCTGTGTTTGAGGTTTCACATGTCATGATATATCTAGACATCAGAGTGAGAGCCTTAACTAACGTATCAAACTGAACAAAAATAAGCAAGGAGCAATCAATCATACACATAAGTAGGTGACAGTCTGTCATGAAAGCCTATTAATATAAACAGGTGTATCAATAACAAAGTATAATAAACAACCCTCCAAATTAACTCAATGTCAAGGTTGCTTGTTTGCAGGTCCTTCATATTCTCATGCATAAAGAGTGTACTTTATAAAGCATAGTAGGGAAGTACAATTTTTTAGTGCTTGCCTTACCTAGTGTACATGCGTGCATGAAGTCCTTGCAAGTAAAATCTCCAAAACTTTGACAAAATGTTTCAAGAACCTGAAATTAAAGAAGAAATTTGGTCATAACCAGTATTCAAAAGCTAGAACATAGGATTACTGTCCTTCAACTCGCATAGAATAAAATAAACAGCTGAGCTTTTATTCCCCACTAGCTGAGCTTGGCTACATGGATCCAAATAACACGATAATGCCCTGTCATGACTCAAGTTCAAACTCCTAAATAACAAACTAACATATATGATCAGGAACATGTGCAAGAATAAGATAAATATCTCACTAAAAAAGATCTTTATGGAGAGAGAAAAAGAGAGATCAACACGTAAAACTATAAATGGAGGAAACATTGATCTATCCCAAAATAGGTATAGGTAATAAGATTACTCTAGCCAACTGTATAACTACTACTACAAATGTAAATACAGAACGACATGGACAAATTATGCTTTGACCACTACAGATAGAGGAAACATTGTCTTCACACACTATAATAATCTATGTAGCACCGACACCTCTGAAATAAAGGTGTGATTATGTTCAATTTATTCATTTTTTTCGAATTGGTGTCTTGTCCAATGGTCGTGTCTATGCCCATGTCCGTGGTTCGTAGACTATAAATTGATCAAAACAACTTAATCATTGAAGAGACAAAGGTAAGTCTGCAAACTACTCACAGGCCTGATTGCCAGAAAGTCCTTCTCAATTTGAGACTTGTGGTAAATGGTTTCCTGATAAACCGAACTTGCACGAATCATATCCAACTCACTTTCATTCCAAAATATCTAAAACACAATGACAAAAAAACATCTTATAATAATTGGTTTTGCCATACATTACAAAAATAATATAAAGAAAAGTTGATAATGTAGATGAAAACTTGCAGTATTATGCATCTCTCCTTGTGGTGGAAGACAGCTGATATAAGGATGCCATTCAGAGTCCTGTCATACATGCAAAGATATTACAATGGCGGTTGTTTTGTAAATTTTCAAGATCATAGAGTGAAGAAAACAAGAATACCTGACCCAAATTCTTATGAATTAGAAGAACAATAGCAAGTTTTGCAATATTTCCAACATCTTCACTGATCGAAGTTCTGATTTCAGGTGCGAGATTATCGGCGGTAATTTGCTGCAAAATCAATTACAAACAAATTAATCACTGTGAAATAATGAGCAGTGAAAATGAAAGTGAGATGATGGTAACAAGAAGCTGACGACAGAGTAGGGAACTTGTAAGATGCAATCTCCGGTTTGAATTGAGTTGGAAGCGAACAAGGAGTTTCCGTATGAAGAATTAGCGATGGAGAGTGATGAAGAAATAGTGGAAGTAGCCTTTTTCTCCAACCATGGTAGAAAATTGTGGAGGATTTGGGATTGGGGAAGAGAAGAGAAGGCGAGGGAAATGGAAAAACGGTGTTGCGAGCGGCGAGTGAAGGTTGCAAGGCGAGATACTCGAAATGGCATTGCAGTGGTTCGGATGTTGAGTGCTTTGGCAATTGTAGTCACACTGAAAGGAAGTGGAATTGACCTTTGACTTTGGATAGAGAGAGAAAGTAAAGAAGGTTTAAAAAGAATATGGTTTTAATTAATTTTTTAAATAAAGTTTATAAAATTTCATGGGAATCTACATTCTATCCTTTTATTTGGGAATAATTTTACGGAAATATGACAAGTTAAGGGAATTTATTTTTTTCCATGGAATTTTTATACCCAAAAATAATTATTTTCAATCTTGTAACAAACATGGGTATATTTATTTCTTATTCATATACTTTCAGGAATCTTGTTTTTAAATTTGAAGCAAGCATCGACTTAGTAATGAAAATAATGTGGGGCTATGTTAATCCATCCACTCTTTCCATCATCAAATTATGTCATCCTTCCTTCAATAGCAGGAGTTGCATATTGTTGATTTAAGATCAAGGCAACTCAACATAAGCAATAAGTATCAACTTGTTTTCAATTTCTATGTTCATGTTAACACATACATCGTATTGAACATCTCAAATATGGTCGAATAACAATATTAAATATTGTTGGTGCACAAGGTTAAAAGAAATGAATAGAATGGAAGAATATATTTATACTTTGCAAATGACAACTACAAAATTGTAAGAAAGAATTACATTAAATGACATCTACCACTGGTCTATTTATGCACAGAAAAATTAGGGTCACATAGGCAACATTCTAAAGTATTAAATTACCCTCTAACGAAGCTTAGTCACTAAATTTTGTAAAATATAAATTATGTCTAACATCACCCCTTAATTTATAGTTATCCAAACTAACAACACCAATTCTATCTCTTAAGCGAAGAAATTGACCGATCTTGATAGCCTTCGTCAGAACATCTGCCAACTGCTTCTGGATGCTACAGCGCACAACTTCTAGCACTACATTCTAAGCATCATTTCTCAAAAAGTGATACTTAGTCTCAATATGCTTGCTTTTCCCATGCAGCACTAGGTTTCTGGAAAGATTGATTGCAGACTTGTTATCAATCATCAACTTCAGAGGCTTGTTAACTTTAATCTTCAGATCCTGCAGTAAGTTCAGAATCCACACAGCTTGACATGCAGTCACAACGCTTGCGATATATTCAGCTTCACAAGTTGACAGCACAACAACAGGTTGTTTCTTGGAACACCAAGAACTCCGAGAAACTTAAACAAGTATCCATAAGTACTTTTTCTGTCAACTCTATCTCCACACCAATCAGAATCTGAATAACTCAGAAGTTTTGATTCAATCTTTCTTCCATAAGGGAATAACATTCCATAATTCAGAGTTCCTTTGATATACCTCAGAATTCTGACAGCAGCTTAGTAATAGGACCATTTAGGTTTACTCATGAACTTACCAACCATTCCAACTGCATAGTAGATATCAGGTCTGATATTACACAGATACCTCAGATAACCAACCAACTGTTTGAAGGTTGTAGCATCCACATCCTCACCATCAAAATCAGAATCCAGTTTCTGATTTGTACCTACAAGTGTGGTAGCAGTCTTACAGCTCTGCAACTTAAATCTCTTCAGAAGTTCAAGTTCATACTTCAGCTGATGCAAAATGATACTCTTCTCAAAGTATATAAACTTCATCCCTATAAAACATGTCATTTTCCTGAGATCAGTCATTTCAAACTCATTCATCAGCACCTTCTTGAACTTAGATATCTTTGGTTCATAACTCTCCATCAACAATATGTCATCAACATACAAACACACCAGAATCATATTGCCTTTAGAAGTATGTTGAACATAAACATTGTAACACCCTTCTAAACCCCACGGATAATATATGAATAATCAGAGTAAATTTCCATGCATTTACAAAAGGGCATTACACATAACTTTCAAAATATCAAAACCACCTGTCATGTTCATTACCATTTCAATATAAAATTATGCTTTACAAAACTTCACTTTGCATGTAGCAGCGGATTCAATTATACCACAATTTTCATAAAAGAAACATTTGTTTTTATCACATAAAACAACATCACTTAGGCACTAAGGCCAACATCATAATATTCCAATGGATATAAACACATTTATAGAGTACACAATGTATATCTTAAACACAACCGAAGCGATCCCAGTGTTACATGACCAGAGCATGACTCGACCCAACATAATTAAATCACTAAACGGCTACACCAAAAGCGACCTCGTAACTACGAGCAATACTACTCCTTGATACCTGCACGATGTCATGTAGGACATCATTCCAGCAGAAGGGTGAGAAATATTATCATAATAATAATGCATATAATTATATATACACAAATACACAAGCACAAAATACATATATTCCACATTTTCTCACCACAATTCATTATAACTCATCATGTACAATACAACATATATATATAATCAAATATGGATAGTCACCAAGCATATTCATCATGCACGTATCCATAAATCTCAACATTCCACATGAACATACACATATTATGTTTACTCACTAATTCCCAATTACACATTCACAATTCTCAAATCAACAATTCATGTTCATAAGCATACTTTCATACAATGATCACATATTCACAACTCTCAATTACACAAGTAATGCACATACACATATGCATAACTTCATACAACAATCATATATTCATTCCATGAGACTCAATGCAACTCAATGCAACTCATGCCATGTGGTACCAACACTTGTTATCATTTTTCGGTTTTTACACTTAAACCGGGTCCGTTCCCTAGACCGATAACAACAAAAGCTCGTTCCCTAAGCTTTCAAACCCCGCTCTAGGTTTGGGACAAGTCACTAGCCTCCACGAAACTAGCAAACATTGCCTCTTGACTAAATGATGCATATGCAATCAACAACAAAATGCACTTAAGACCGATCACACGTCTTAATCCCATGCATTCACATAATTCCTCCCTTCAAGAATTAAACAAGATTGCACACACAACATATCATATAATCAAGTATTCATACTTTTCATCAACATATTTGTCAAACAATGCACGCATATCTTACAATATGTTCCCATGCATTAATTCACAATAATCGGATACAACAAATATGCATTCATAATTCAACCTCATTACCTTTTTAAACAATGCACACATATTCACAATATGTTCTCATGCATTCACAATATCGCATAGAATCAATATGCATTTACACTTCAATATCATTACCACATTTATCAAGCAATGCACACATATTCACAATATGTTCTCATGCATTCTTCACATACAAACAATATGCATATATTTGTCAAAAGACTATATTCCATAATCGATTCCACCATCTAGGATTCACGCCATACGGCTACCCACAGCATATCATATCACAACATGCACAAGCTATACGTTATATAACAAAAGTATTCTGCACAATAACACATCAATCACACACATTTGCGACGGTAAAAATCAACACTACAATATGTTTTCAATTTTCTGCTATAATTGAACCAGGTACAGACCTCAAAGCCATTTTTTCTAGAAAGATAATCTCGTTAACTTACCAACGCTTCGAACGGGGGTCAAAACCGACTTACGGTTCAAGAGTTATGAATTTTTGAAGTTTTCCGAAAAACCAGAATTTTGCCTAAACACGGCTACGGGATTTTGCATTTTCGCCCGAAAATCCGACCGATTCAATTCTTTTTTCCGAAAAAAACACATACTCATACTCACCTAACATATAGCAGTGAATTAGAACCATTAAACACGATTTCTACAACGTCCGATTTTCACTCAAATCTCAAACCCTCAATTATCCAAAAATGTCAAAACTCACAAACTCAACCAAATTCAATCAAACGAAATCCAATAATCACGGCTAAACATTACCCGACTAAACTATGCAATTTATTTTGAATTCTAACCGTTCAAAACTCAATTCTATCGATTTAACTCATTTGCCCTAGAAATGGAAAATAGAGAAAAACACCCAACAAATCCAACACAACTCATACATAATCATACACATTGATCAAATAATAATTTTTCTCACCCTTACCTTAATTGATGTTCCAATGGATGAAAACCTTCAAGAATCCTTAACCCTTCCCTTCTCGATCTTCCTCTTTGCTCTCCTCTCAGAAACTGGGTTATCGTAACTTTCTTTCTCCCCAAAAACTTTTCTATTTTCTTTAATCCCAAATGTATCGTGAAAACTCTCTAACTCCCCTAAATCCTTATTTCTTATTTTATTTATTTAATCCAAATAATAATAATAATAATAACTTATAATAATAATATTAATAATAATAATAATAATAATAATAATAACAATAGTAATAATAATAATAATAATAATAATATTAACTATTATATTACCACCAATATTATATGATATTATATTAATATTAAATTCCGCCTTTTATTAAATAGTTCCTATAAATTAAGGACACCCACCCAACACTCTCAGGCACACCCTCTCATAAGGACACCCCAAAATACAATAACACCAAAAAGGCTAAATAATTAAAAATGGGTGTTACAACTCTCCCCCACTTTAATTATTTTCGTCCTCGAAAATTAACTGATGGAAACAATTCTGGATACGCTTCCCGCATCCTGCTTTCCAATTCCCAGGTCACACTGCCTACTGCAACACTTCATCAAGCCACTTTCACCAAGGATACTTCCTTCTCTCATAGTTCTTTCTCGTTCAACAATTCGTACTAGGAATGTACCAACAATCAAATTATTTCACACTTACACATCATGCAATTTCCACAAACGACAGCGGTAAACAGTCTAACATACTATTTTTCCCGTGCTTCCGCTGCGCCATTCTGATACAGATAAATGAAACACAGTGTGTTCTTCTGAGACTTCAGAGCTCGGTCAACACCAGTTACCATCGTAACTATCAAAACGTGTCCTTTCTTGGATCCTTTTGATCTTTTCCGTTGCCTCTTGCACACTTTCTGGTCCGAGTACAACACTCTCGCCGGACACACATCAACACAATTGAGT